TTGTATGTTAGGGCTTTCTATTCTGAATTTTAAAGGGAGCCAGTGGAGGGAAGCTAATATGGGAGAGATATGATATTTTTTGCTAGTTCCTGTCAGTACTCTGGCTGCAGCATTTTGGATTAACTGGAGGCTTTTTAGGGAATTATTGGAACTTCCTGGTAGTAAAGAGTTACAGCAGTCCAGTCTGGAAGTAACATGTATCAGGTTTTTTAATGGCACACATTTGCCCCACCTTACTATTGTGATGAACAATTAACTTTAAATGTGCAATTTCATACATGTGAATGGATTAATGAAACCAGCCAGGCCTCTCAGTCCACTGGCCTCTATCTGCCTACCAGTCAAATCATGGCTGAGCCTGTGGATTGTTCTTGCAGCGAGGCAGGAACCAGGGATGATAGTGAGGGAGGTGACAAGCATTGCCTTTGCCCTAAATGATCTGAATGGGTAATGATTTGAGTCTTATAAATGATTGAGAGACCTATCTAAAGGCACTACACTTTCAGCATGGCACTGGCAGCTTGTTAAGGTGGACTGGTGCGCTTGAGCAGACGCACGTCCTGTCTGCGGCTTCTGCTTGTCCTGATGCATCCTTAAGAGAGCGCATGTGGGATGTTGCTGAAGTCCCTGAAAGCATTCCTCTCTCACCTCTCTCACCTCTGGGGAATGAGATGTGCTCAGATGTTGAATCCTCTCCTCCACCAGCCGCTTTCTCTCTATTCTCTCTCTTTATTTTTCTCTTATTGCTCTCAGTCTCCTAGTTTCCCCCTCTTTTTTTATTCAGTGGTGTTGAGTGTTTTTGCTGCTGCCCAGCTGAGCTGAGCTCTGAGATGCTTGATTGCACTGTGCATCTAGTGGACTCAGAGTGTGTCTGAAGAGCATGAGGCAGTCAGCAAGAATTCATCTGTATCACATTTGTGGCTGTATTATTCAGTCTATTGATCCTCATTATTCTTAATGGAACATTACCTATATGGTTCTTGTAAGATATATTATCACTGTAAAGGTTCTATTGGGCCCACTGATCTACTAGGGCCCACTAATATGAACTGTTCCTGCAGTGTCCACCTTGGCCACACTGGGGCACTCCAGACCCTGCCCACTTTCTGTGTGTTGTGCTAGAAAATTCTACACTCACTCAGGCTTTTTCTGAATATTATCATAAGGAGAAGTGGGAAGCATGAATGTAACAAGTGATTGCTTTTAGCAAAAGGATACTACAGGGGATTTTCAAACCCTGACACTTAACACATTAAATCCACATTATCACTATCCAGAATATGGACTGATAATGGGTGGGCATTACATTTACTAAATACATCTTTGACCTGAATGCTGTTCGTCAGAAAGGTGCTTGCAAAAGAAATGAGAACTAAAAAGTGAACTGGAGTACATTCTATTTTGCAGGAGAAAAGATTAAACACTGTCCTAAATCGCAACACAAATGTTAAAGGACAGGTGGTTTGGATGACAGTCATAAACTTTGGGGGAAACCAAACAAAAAACTTGTCTGATTTAATCTACAGAATTGAAAGCATTTCCATTCTATAAAGTGGCTTCATGATTAATAGGGGGAACTTTCAAAGAGCGATCCCCTTCATGTACCTGTTGGCAAATACTAAACAGCAACCACACAGCTGGTAAGAGAAATTGCTCATATGTACCCAATTTAGGCAGGGCTCCAAAAGCACAGAGCCCTCTAGCCTACCTGACGTGTATGAGAATGCCTATCTGTCTTACAGTCCTAGACAGCTCGTCTCTCCAGCAGGGCGGGAGATGGAAACTGTGTGAACAGGTAGAGGAAGACTTTATTAACCACTCAGTAGTCTGTGACCCGGAAAACCCAAATTACCCCAAAACCTGTCTTGACTGCGCAGCCCAGGACACAAGCGTGACGCTGAGGGAGCTCTTAATCAGCCCCAGATGGGAGGCCTGCTCTGGATCGCAGACAGTAGCTGACCCAGCCAAGCTTTATGCTCCTTAAAGCACCCCCTCACTTCTCTTTTTAATTTCACCTCTGCCACCACCAGCCCCTGTTAAACCCATTTTATAGACCTCAGATTGAACGTATAAAAGAGCTGTTTTACACAGAAATCCATGGGAGCATTTGACATGTTTGTGTGCTGTGAATGGAAATGGTGCTATTTAGTGTCAGTGGGGGAGGAGGGCTAGTAAGATGATCAGTTTGATTAATGTGTTTTTTGATGATCACATATGTTAATATAAAATCAGTGTCTGTTTGAATACTGATTTCAATTGTACCTGCCATGACAGGCTTTTTTCTTTATGTGCACTTTTTTTTTTTTATCAGGGCATTAAGGCGCGCATCCTAGAGACCTTTGTGATGCTCTTCCTGCTGGCTTTGCTCATCCTAGGCATTGTGTGGGTGGCATCAGCACTCATTGACAATGACGCAGGCAGCATGGAGTCACTATACGGTACGTTTTCTGTCTCATTTGTGCCTGTAAATCTCTTTTAGGTATTTTTAAAGTAATAGTTCAACAATTTGGCAAATGCACTTTTTGGCTTCTGGCAGAGCATTAGATTAAATCCCTTCTCATGGCTGTGCACTATCTATAAAGCTTGAGATGCAAGTTGATTAACAGAAATAAAGACTGGAACCAAGGATTAATCGCTAATTCCTTCATGAATCAAAATGTAAAAAAGACAACTTGTGGGTTTACTTGGAGTTGCATTGTGAAACTATTTCTTGTATAGCCTCCAGAATATAGCTGTCCCTCTTATAGTCTGTATTTTACTAAATGAATATATATATTTTTTGTAGATCTTTGGGAATTCTACTTACCATACCTCTACTCCTGTATATCTCTGATGGGAGGACTGCTTTTACTAAGTAAGCCATTTAATTTAACCCCATACACACTAAAGTAAAGACAATATTAAAGCTGTTCTGGTGTTAAACTTTCACTGGTAAGTACACCTTATTGTGGTTAACCACTCAAGCTGATCACACTTTTTTTCTGTCGGCTGTGTAGTGTGCACTCCCGTGGGATTGTCCAGGATGTTCACCGTAATGGGCCAATTACTAGTAAAGCCAACAGTAAGTCATCATTTGGATGAAATATTTACAGATTTGGTTTGTAAATGTTTTGGTCAAGAGGAAAAGTTTATTGAATGCTTCAGATTTATTTTAATTATAGGTTTTCTCTGAAAGACTCTAAAGTCACTGAACAGATCTGCTCAGACTTGAATGCTTCACTATGAAAGATTTACGTCTTAGTCGTCCATTTACATGCGCGACAGAGGACTACAAATACGTCACCAACTTATCCTCCCATCTGCCATCTCTCCAGTTCCACATTGGGCCTAATTATAACACATTTCATTTCTGCCTCTTCTGCTCCCTCCCTTTCAGATCCTGGAAGACCTGGATGAGCAGATTTACTGCATCCATTTGCAGGAGGAAGCCCTTCAGAGGAGATTAAATGGTATGTCTGTAGGAGATGTGTGGGCACATTATAGGGGATGGGAGGGGTTGACTGCCCTATTGGGTTTGATGGAGCATGCCACAGTGAAATCATTTAGGATTGAAAATTGAGCCAGGCTCATGCATGCACACAGACATTCACAAAAATCCACACACACCTGACACCAGGCTTTCTCTGTCACTACCTTACTCATAACTGTCTCCTAAAGGGCAAGGCAGCCACCATGGCAAAGCCCACATTTTATGTTTAGAAAGTTTTTAAGGGTCCATTTAAGACACTGTAGTGCCACTGGCACCTATGGTGGAATGGTTTCCTCATTTAATGTCAGGCCTAGAATGGTACCATGGGTAATGGATGGAAATGGCATTTCTTGGCTTGGTGGACATTAAAGAGCAGCAACTCTCAGTGGCTTCTGAGAAGAGACCAGGAGGTGTTGTGCTGCCCTCTGGACCGTGGCACAAAGGGAAAGTTTAAAGCATTCAAGGATGGTGAAGGTGTTATTTTTTAGCCCTTTTCTTTTCTTTGTTCCCAAATTCCTTGCTTGATGTTAGACTGTCTTCTCAAAAAGCAGGAAGCTATGGGCCAGATTCCAAAACCTACTTTAATAGTAACTCAAGCACGCAGCCAAGTGTACAGACGTGAGTAAATCAAGAGGATGAGCTTCCTTTCAAACCAGGGAGGTAAGGGAGATTACTCCCTGATAACGCATGTTTTCAAATGCCATGCTGGCCACCTCCATAGACTGCCAGCTAAGCGTATGGTTCCTTAGGGCTCATTCCACATGGCCCTGCTTTGAAGTAACTGATAGAATAATTGTAATCTGTTCCTTATCATCTCTAGGACTGTTTGAGCTTTACAAGTCACACAGAGGCAAAAACATAACAGTGGTCAACACCTCCATGTGTGCACTGAGGCCAAGCTGCAGTTCATTTTTGCCCCTTACAGAAGTGGGGATTAAAAGCAAAGGAGGATGTTGACTTGAGTGTTTTTATGCACACACTCAACATCCATGCTCACACAGAGTTGTAACTGAAGGCTAGATTGGTGTTCCTTTGATCCGCTGAGGGTGCTGAGCAGAAGCCAGTGCAGGAACAGTTCACAGGACACACCCCAGAGGCGAGCAATGTCGTCTTCTTGCTTCACCTGTGTTCTCTCTGCATCCAGCTCGACTAACAGATTATCCTCCTACCGTTTAGCCTCTTTGTTGATCAGAATGTTGTACCTTAAACAGGCTGACTGGCAATGTTTGTATGATTTTCTATTCAAGAGCATGATTTTTAAAATTAAATGCTTTGAAACGTGCTCCTTTTTGATAAGTAGCTGGCACTTAACCTACTTGTAAATTAGACTAAGGTTTGCAAAATTTAGAGATATTGCAGACATAAAAGATAATTTGTTATTTCACCTGAATTAATTACTCATTTAATTAATTAGTCAGTCTACATAAAATTGATTGGCAACTAGTTTGATAATAGATCAATCACTAATCTTACAGCGGATTCAGAGAATATTGTAATGGCATGTTTTATCATAACGTAATGTATCGTATCGTACCTTTTAAAAATCCAGACCCCTTTACTTTTTGCACATTTTTTTTGTGTTGTGGATTCAATCTTGAATGATACAGTTGCCATCTACACATCATTATACACTAAATGACCTGTGATGACATAGTGAAACATGGGCATAGAGTTGTCTGAAAATGTATCAGTAATCATGTCTGAACAAATTCAGGCTGTAGGGATCACATCTAATGCTTGCAAAGTGTACCGATTAAATTCTGTATATGATTTCAACAGATAATTGGGTTAGAAGAAACAGGTTAGAAGGTATTTTAAAAGAACAATCTAGAAGTCAACAAACTAGAAACTACAGTCTACAAATACACTGCAGCACAGGCAGTATGGCACACTGTCCTCTCCTGACCCTGATCTGCTGATATCACAGTAACAGAGTGCCTGTCCAGAAGCTATGCAGCACAGTGACCTTGCTAGAGTCTCTCTGGTCTCAGCGTGGTGTTTTGCATATTTGTGGATGACGTAATTTTTCGACTGTGGTGAAGGTTGGAGAGGATATGTTAATTACTCTGGGCCTTCCAGGCTGCCAGAAGCCTCACTCAGCATCTCTGCCTCGCTGTAACTCAGTCTTTACTTGATGCTGCCAGCAGAAGGAGAGAGATATATTTAACTTCACTTTGGAGTGATGTCATTGAGGATACTGCAGTTGAATTTCTCATCATTTTACCCCATTGCTTTAAACCGGTGATGATATTGTTCTTTGTCCTTAGTTAGAGCTACAGTTTTTCATAGCTGTTGAGAGACTATTTTTCATTTGATGAATGATTTCTTTGTGCTGAGTAACGGTAAAGCCATGTTTGGATATGTTATGCACATAGGTAATAGATTAGGTGATTTGCAGCTGACACCGGGGCAGAGTATTCAGTTCATCTGTGGAGAAAAAGAGCTGTTGAACTATCTGTGACATTTCCTGTTGTGTTGTGACTTCATTAGCTTGGAGGGTTCAAACTTCCCCCTGCTTAGATCCCGGGAGAGGTATCTATGAGGGCACAGACAAAACGGTTAACTCTCTTTCCCCCTGTCTATCCCACATTTTTTGCCTATTTAAACCCATCCAGACAGGGTGTGTCATAATGATAGAGGAGAGAAAAGGGTTTGATCAAAGTGATTGGTCCTTCACTCCTGTAACAAAGATGAAAGATGGTATTTTTATTGCATGCTAGTAACGGTGTAACACTGAACTAATTGGTCTTGATCTGCCAGTCACCCCAGGGGATGCAAATGGATACTCTTCCACTTTGGCTCTGAGGGGCCTCTACACTACTGTGTCAGGCTGGAAGGAAAACAGAGTAAAATAGATAAATTAGCCTTAAATGAGCCGGCCTTGTGGTTTTCCTGGAGAATCCCTTGCTGTCTTCTCCAGCCCAGTCAACCAGTTGTGGCATGTGCTAGACAGCTCCTGACATAAGAGATTACTTTTACTTGTTTGAGATCACATGTTCTGTTCTGAACAGAATGACTTGTTTTGATGGGAATGCTTAATAAACATACCATATGCTGAGGTCCGCTGAACACAGTGTGATCATTCACGTCCTCTTAATTAGGATATATGGAAGAACACGGTTTTCCACTTGACACAAACATTTCTCCAGTGGTTTGTCATTTACAGTGTATGTGACTTGCAGAACATTGTGTTTCAGTAACAACATTAGAACTGAAACGGTTAGCCAACCCCCAAAAAATGAGTCGGCTGTTGTGACAATTTGTTAATAGTTAGTCTTTTAACCAAGCAAAAACAGCTTCTCAGACGTGACACTTTTCTTCTTTTTGTGTTTTCTATCATATTACATTAAATAACTTTTGGTTTGGGACTGTTGGACAAACCAAACAGAACTCAATATCTTCACCTTTTCAACCCTAATCTTTCAACCACCTTTCATAGACTGTTTACTGACTACTTTACTAATAAAATATAATTGTTGCAGCCTTAGACAACAAGTGATTATGCAACAAATTGAATTAGTTTCAACGATTTCTGTCTGCAGGTTCATCCTCACACGCTTATACTCGAAGAAGCTTTGCTCAGCAGCTCAACAAAGAATTGGACAATATTAGAAATCAGAGAAATAAACTGGGTAAGTATTTGTATTGTGTGACGGGGCTGATAGATTTTGTCCTAAGACCTTGAATTGCCATGGAAATATGAGCCAAAAAAACTTAGATTTTTACATATTGCTGACAGGCAGCCGCTTTCTCTCCCTCTGCCCTAATTTCTCAATTTGGCCTTGGACCAGAGCTGCCTGATCATTTTCCATCCATTTTGGGATATTGTAAATGAGGCTTGATCCTTTTGGTGGGGGGGCACAAAGGCACTTAGGATATTGGACAAGATGCAAACTTTATATTGTAGCAAGCCTTTTAGTGATGTCATTAATTTAGAGGGATGGTGCATATGAAGTGCATTTGGCAAACTTGTCTGGCCTGCAGGGTGGATGCACTTTGAGAATATGTAGGACTAACAAGGTTGGAAGTACAAAACCAAAGTCAGTGTGGTAAAGACTCGAGGGCAGTCAGGTTGTTAAATGACTGCATGTCCACAACAGGAGACATAGTGCATGTGATCTACAGACTGTCAGTGCTGTCTACAAGCATGCCTGAGTTGTGAGAATAAGAGGAAGATGGAAAATACTAACGAGAAATCTTTCCTCTGGCTTGTAAGAATATAAGATACATTAGTTGCCCACCACAGACACACACACTCTCTCTCTCAGACACACACACACCAAAATTAACTTTGTTGTATTTCCTTTTATTCATGATTTATTATTGTTTCTACTAATTAAGTGATGATGGTGGCTAATTAAAGAGGAAGAGCATAATTCTTGAAGATTAGGAAACGTATTTTACCTGCCAGGTGGTGGTTACGATAAGAGGGGATACAAACACTCGAGATATGTTTTACCAAGCTAAGCTGTACAAACCCTGCAAATAAAGCCAGAGGGCTTGAGGTTTCAGTAGCTATCTTTGATGAACATTAATTACCCATCGGTGGAAAGTGGTTTGTACTGGAGTAGTTTAGTTCATCACTGAATCTCGTTAATGATGGAGCCGGTTATACATATATATCTGCAAACAAATAACCTCACACTTAATCCCACTGTCATCTCCTCTCAGAGAGAAGAAAGAAAGCATCAGGTTGGGAGAAAAACTTGTTGTATCCCATAGTGATGCTGATCCTGCTCACAGGAACGGTGAGTGTCGAGACTGACCTATCATTAAGCCCAGACTGTGTTTGCTGATGGCGTATACAGCCTGGCTGGTGGCCACTGGGACTAGCACTGCACTTCAAACCCCATCCTCTTACAGTTTCCCACAGTCTCTGGGTGGGGAAACTACTTTTGGTTAATAGCTGTTTAAGACAATGCTGAATAGCCACCTGCAACAACTATGATTTTCAATAGATTATAGTGTGGGAATGCTATTTATGCTGCCTGATAAGACAAAAAGGCCATGTGAGAGGCATGGCACGTGCATCAAACAACCCCCAGTTTTAGGTTTTGAGGAGTTTAATGCTGGAACAGTTAACAATCACAAGATAGTTATTATATACATTACCATACATATGAATCAGCCCCTTCACTTCAGTTATATCATGATGCCGGATACTTTAAACAATCTTTTTATAATTATACTATCTGTAAACAAATTTCTGTCTTCCTCTCTCTCTGCAGACAATCTCGGTTCTTATGGTGGCATTCAATATCCTCTACCTTCTAGTGGATGAGACTGCAATGCCCAAGGGATCTACAGTAAGGGATCTCACTGTCTCACTGAAGTACATTTTAACCCAACCCACCCCACCCCCATACACACACACACACACACAGAAGAGTATGATAATCAGACCTGCCACATTTCTGGTGGAGACATAAATCGAATTCCGGATATGCTCAGGTGCATGTTGGATGAAAAGGGCCAGCCAGATGTTAATCAGGCCTCAACCTTGTGCCTCTGGTTTTGTTTTGGAAGCTCTTTGAAAGTCATTTCACAGGACTGTGCAGATTCAATGAGCTGGCTACGTGTCCACAATAGGTGAATAAGCTGCTTTTCCACCCTTGTGTCAGTCTAACATATTTAAGCTCTCTTTATATCATCTTATCTGAAGTGACAGAGGTGCGTGTGTGTGTATGTGTGTGCTTTTGTGGTTGCATTTTTGTCTGAGAGGGGGCAACATAATGTATCCTATTTCTCCGTCATTTCATTTTGCGTCTTGTGGGCAACTGACATTTCAATTATTTTATAGAGCAGAGATGTTTTCTTTGGCATGACGCATCACAGAAAATCCCCCAAATTACACTTGTCATGCAGCTTGAAGCTGTCTTCCCCAACACTGTGGCCCCACTAAATGGTTTATGTGTTTGTTGAGCTGGATGGATGCCACACCTCTGATCTCACAGCATTATGAGCGGTGGGGGGTGGGGTGCGGTTCTTGTCCTTCAGAACAATCGATACTTAAATGATATTCATCCGTCCCCCCATTAGCCCTACCTTCCAGTTCTCAAACTCTGCTGCTCTAGCACAGAAATTCTCGTGCAGTTACATACTGTTGGGCAGGAGGTAAGGACAGCATAGATAAAGTGTTAAGAAGTAGGGAGAGCAGCTGGTTTGAGGTCTGAACAAGGTACTGAGGAAGCAAAGAGACTCAGACTGTGGGAAATTCAAATGAGGCACTGATGCCCTGATTGTTATGGGGGGAGAGCACAATGGAAGTGCCCTGTCAATGTTTGTCTTCCTTTCCCGCTAGGTATGCCTCTGTAGTCCTTAGCATATTGAGCAGCGGCCCGCTCAGCTTTACAGAGCAGAGGATGGAGGTGGGGAGGAATTGGGGGGGGGGACAAGCAGGTGGATGGAGCAGAGGAGAAAGCGAAGATGCTGTAGAAACAAAGGGAAGGAGGAGGGGAACTGGAGCTACTGCTGTCACAGGACACTGTTTTACAGCTGAACAAGCGCTAAGAGCAACCAGTAAAATTGTTACTACAGGCCCTCCTCTTTGGTAGCCACTACACTAGACACCACGTACAATTAGCTGTGACTGGACTGCAGATTCACCCCACTAAAGCCTGCCTTTCTGTAAACAAACAGAAACTACAATACAGAATGTTGAGAAACTGAAGGAAGCTGCTTGAGGTCATATGGTCTAGATATGAGACATAGTTGCACATGTGTGTAAAAGATGCTGACGACCTTACCAGTGTGCAGGTTTTGCAAGGTGCTAATCTTACAAGCTACAAATGCGATGTGCCCACTGAGCCGGGACAGGCAGCACTCGTGAATCTAACACATGCAGACACACACTTCATCAACCTGCTAGAGGAATTAAAAGAAGGAATGAGTTGAAAGGAGGCGTACTGTAAAGTCTAGCAGTCCTGAGCATGCACACACACACACACACACACACACAATCTTAATGCATATCTGCCCTCCCTCCATTAATAAATGACATCAGATGCTGTTTGCTAATTTCCTTGTGTAATTGAGAAAGACCACTGCACCAGGGCTCTGCAGTAAGCTCCCAGGGATGACAGTTGCATAAAAAGGCATGAAACAACCTGACAGTCTTTCCTTCTGCCTTAAGGCTCTTTTACAAAACAATCATGATAAGGACTTGAGGTGGGGAGGAAGAAATGAAACACAGTAGAGAAAATAGCTAAAAGTAGGAACACACTTTGAATATATAGTGTGCAGCTGTAACGTACTGTATATATATATACATAGCAAGAAGAGTAAATACTTTACAGAGATCCTGTACTTTGATGTCATTGATTTGGTATGGCAATGTATGGTATTTGAATTGCATGACCATACAGCTAAACCTTTATAAGTAGAAAATCCACAGTTTATGGTCACTGCTTACTTGTGGACAGAACACTGTAGCCTAACACACAGATCCTTCAGAAGTTCAACGCTGGGGACAAGTCCAGCAAGCAAACACTGTTCATTTTACAAGACACACGTTTGGTATGTGCAGCGTAAGTAGATGTACATCTCTCTCCTACTCCAGTTTCTGAACACCTTTGGGTGTTTTTTGTTCAGGGGTGTGTGTGTGTGCGCGTGCGCTGAATACTTGCTGAGGTATTTGTTTTGTTGTTTTTATGTTTTTGGCATATTTTCAGCTTGTATGCTCTCCTTACCGTAAGCAGTGTGGCGTTTTTGTTTGAACACCTGTTCACATATTGTGTGATTGACAGTGATTTGAAAAGAGCCTCTTTCATCTTGTTCCATTCATTACTTAGCCAATTTGATTCTGTCTTTATCAAGTGGGGAAATTCTTCATACACCACATACTTACTTTGCAGGATTTCTGTAATTGCATGTGTGTGCAACAGCCTGCAGTGCTTTTCCCATTTACTTTTTTTTTGTATTTGTGGTGTGTTTATATAAGATTTGTGTGCAATGACATTGAATAACCTAGTTTTCTGTTTCTATCTCCATCTTCCAGGAGAGAGGCATTGGGAACACTTCTCTGTCCACATTTGGTGTGGCTCAGGCGGTGCTGGAGATCATCCTCATGTTGTATCCTTTGAGTGCCCCCTGCCCCCTAAATCCCTTTTATCTGTGGCTAGAGTAGCATGCTCCATGACCAAGAGCAACATTGTCAGGACAGCTTTGTTTACCCAGGACATAGTTCAGCCAGACACCTTCCGGAATACATGTTCTGCTGTTTCATCACCTTTTATCGTAGCTGAAAAGGTGGAAGGAAGACTTGGGATACTTAAAAAGACAAGTCAGTGTAGCTGCTATGCTACCAGCAGAGAAGTGTTTTGGTCCTTGATTGATTTGCTGAACAGCTACTTGATGGTGTCCTCTGTGGTTGGCTTCTACAGCTTGCGAGTCTTTGAAGGGCTCACTCCCAGGAAGGATGACACAACCATGACAACGGTAAAGATGGGATGGAAGGACAGGGGTGGGGTGAAGTGAAGAGTGTGGAGATTCCTCAAGGTGTTGATGTGTTTGGGAACCCCTGCGTTGCCTCGTTTTCCTCTCTCCCGCCTTCCTCTCTACTCCAAACTCCTACTGCTCACTAATGTTTTCTTTAGGGCTCATCAATGGCTTTAGTTGATCTGTCCATTATTTATTTGTGGGTTGCACAAACACTGGCAAAGTGCAAGCTCCTTTCTTGTACATCAGAGGGAGAGTGGGCTTTTGAGGGGGTGTAGGATGTGTGTTCTGTTTTACCCATAGTGGCACCTATTCACTTGGTAATGAGTTTAGGAGGGGTGAGGTTTGTTAACTAGCCATGACGCTCCAGTGAAAGGACTTGAAGGGACAATGGCGAGAACCTGGTAATGAGCAACTTCAGAGGTACTAATTGTGTAACATGTGGGACTAATTTAAAATCAAGTGTTGTCTGTGTGTGTGGGCATGTCATGGTTGAAACTGTTGCTATGGGAGCTTTTCCCCTCACACTCCCTCAAAAACTGTATGTTGTCTGTTTGAGAGATCCAGAGTTTGATTATCTGCTCTGACATTTCAGATCATTGGTTGCTGTGTGTCAATCTTGGTCCTGAGTTCAGCCCTTCCAGTGATGTCCAGAACTCTAGGTGAGTACAGATGTGTCTGTCTGCTTGTATCAGAGAGACTGTGGGCATTCTAATTTCTTAACTCACACCTAGCCTCTTTGCACAGATTAAATATTTAAAGCAGTAGTTCAATATTTTGAAATCTTTCCTTGCGGAGAGTTCGGCCTGTGACACCAAGACAGTGGTCGCCCATTGGCCACTGTCGGTGAACATCTGCGGCTCTCATCTTCGTGTTGTGTTGGGCTACGTTGCTGCTAGTTCTCTCATGCTGGCTTGGTGTTTCTCTGCCCTTAGATGAGAAGATGGATAGTACTCTGCTCTGTCTACTAGATATGACAGTACAGCTAGCAGCTGGTTTGGAAATGGAGAATCAGCTGGGGGAAGCAAACAATGTATAGTGGGTTCATTTGTAAAGCTTTAGTTGAGCTAGTAGGTGGATTTTATACCTTTGGACAGAGCCCCAGTTACCACTTCACACACTAAGTGGCTGATGTTTGGAGCGTCATATTTTGTGACATGAGAGTGGTACTGATCTTCTCATCTAACTCTCAGCAAGAAGGAGAGTAAACATATTTTCCAAAATGTCAAGAAATGTTGTTGAAGTGAATTTTTTAGAGGTGTCATATCAGCCTTACCACAAACAACCAGAAAGCAATGCTCCTCTCCCAAGTCGTCTTCAGTGCTGCCACCAGACCATTAAGGTTAGCAAGCTGAATTCTCCAATAGTTTCCCATAGTGACGTTAGAAAGGAGTGTAGGGAGAAGGGGTAAAACCGACAGGAGTAGCACCCTCACAATGGCACTAATAAACATGCCAGGGTGCAGAGCACAGCTGTTCAAATAGCACTTCTTAGTGTGTGTGTGTGTGAGTGTGTGTGTGAGAGAGACCAACAGAGTGGGAGAATGGGACAGAGCGAGTATACAGTGACTCACTGGAAGCTTTACAAAATATCAACAGGTTCTGCTCTGTGACACTGAATAGATGAAAAGGAATAAATGCATGCAACAGATTTGAAGAGAACACCCCCCCCCCCCCAACCAAAGAAAAAAGCCACGTGGAGAGTTGAGTGTAACCAAGTGAAATGTTAAGAGTCAAGAAAAGCAGTTTTATGTTGATATGAGGGGTTTTTTGTGCCTGTCACTGTTAGTGTGGTAGACATGTACTGCACAAGAGAACAGGGAGCTGTATACTGCAACACAAAAAGTATGTTGAAACCTGTACGTTTTAACGTTGTCTATGCAAATCATGTCATACAAATATCATAACCAGTTCCCACACAGATTATGGTTGTTTGGAGACTCCCAGTGGAAACGCTGTTATGACTACTCGCCCCAGTTATACCCTGTTACAGGTGGTACACAATTGCACATATGAATGTCATGCTATTACCTCTTGTACTGCAGCAAAGTTGCATATTTTTCATATAGTTCAAATGTAATTTTTTTAAGCATGTTGTTTTTTTTAGGTGGTTTTTATTGTCTATTATTAACAAGGTTACAGTAGAGACCTGATAGGAAATGATGAAGATGCAGCAGTGGTACACAGCTGAGTGTAAATGGAGGACTATGTCAAACCCCTACACCTTTGGGACACATTGTTAATTTGTTTTTGATATAATGGATTCTTACTCATTCATGGATACATGCTTTTCTGTTGTGATTTTTAAAACTGTCAACAGGAAAGTCGGTGTTAACTTTATACAGAGCAACAGGAATGTCACTCTGCCATCTAATCTTGATGATTCAGGCATATTGTTTTTGGATGCTCGACTGCCTGCAAACTAACGTCTCCAGCTCTGCCACAGTACCCTTGACATTTCAAATGTTGAGCATCATTTTACCCTTAATTTGATTTTTCTCAAACTACCAAAACCAAGTTCAAAACCTTCAGCATTAGAAATGAATTTAGCCAAACCACAGTGGCAAGCTGTATCGACAGGGGTATCCGTCATCTCTCTCCCTGTCTCTTCACAGGCAATTTTGTTAAAGGTCCTCAATGTTTGCAAACTGCTTACTGTGGCTGTAAATAACATCTCTCCAGACACTGAGTCGATTGCCCAGTCTAACTGAGGACAACTTGTGAAGATGTTACAGGACAAGAAGAATGTCCAGAGACTTGGGCTTATCCAGTCTGAATAAATTTCAACATTCACGTGATTGAAATTGAAAATTGTTATGGTGCATAGGTTTTAACTTGTTGTTGTATTAATTTCCTTGGTTAATGCTGCATGTGAAATGGACACCTCAAAGAAGATATAAATACCATTAGCAATATTAAACAGAGTTGTACACAACTGGTTATTTAAAGCTTAATTATCTCCTAGCAGTGTGGAGCTCAGAGGAGCATGCAGGACAAACACTTTTATATTGATGTTTTCTTTTTATGAGGAGTCAGTACAGTCCAGTACATCAAGTGAGTAATTGCATTGTCATAGCTCTGTATAAGAACTTGGATTTCCCAGTAAGGGTCGACTTGCATTCTAACCCAGTTACTAGTTATGTCTCCCTGCTATTCACAGGTATCACCAGGTTTGATCTCTTGGGAGACTTTGGGAGATTTAATTGGCTGGGAAACTTTTACATCGTCCTGTCGTACAACCTGCTGTTTGCGGTCGTGACAACGCTCTGTCTTGTGAGAAAGTTCACTTCAGCAGTGAGGGAAGAGCTCTTAAAGGCTTTAGGTAAATGTATTTTATTATACATCTTATTTATTTATCCTGACTTTTTTCTGGATCTTTTGTGGAATACAAAGCAGACTAGTAATAACACTTTGACTGTTTCATCCTAATTTTGAATCCACAGTGGTTCAGTCTGAAACACTGATACCACAAACCTACGCTGTGGCATTAGAGGGAGATAGCGTTTATTTCTCAGAGACTGTATGACCTGGAGTGACAAAATGGATAAAATCGTAGCGAGATCCAATGTGCTCTGGGCCAACGTGACAGAGGATGGGGCTAGTCTCAAAGGCTTGTGGTGGCAGGCCCTGGGCAGAGGGGGGCACATCAATATCTCTGTCTAAGTGAAAGTCTGAGGCTTTTTAATGAGATTTCTTTCCCTTATCTCCCCTTGCCCAGGTCTGGATAAATTGCAACTGTCAAACAGCCCAACAGACCCTGAATCTGGGAAACTCTCAGCCAATGGGCATCAGAAAACTCTGTGAAAAGGATGATAGATCAGCAGACACACACAAACCTTAGCACAGCCAAAGGGAGATTTCAACAGTGCTGCCTGACCGCTGAAAAGTGAACGGAATTGGAAGGAACGTAATAAACCCAGGCAGTGTCTGATGGATGCTGCAAATGGAGGCTGAGAGCAATTTAGCTTCATGACATTCCATCTTCTGCATCTGGGATGTTAGGCTGGGACAGAGCCAGGGAAGAGGCTGAGGAGTGAAATGGACTGGCATCACTGCAGTGACCTTGATGTTGACCTCAACCATGTCTGTGACTTTAAACCATCCATCTCTTGCATCAGGGGCACCCCCCTCCCCTTTCTTCTCAGTCACACTGCTCATCCTCTGTTCTCACTATAGTACAGTACATTGAGCCCCACATTTCAGTTATTCATTTTTTAAGCAATCTGTACTTGGTTGTAAATTTTTTATAAAGTCCTAAATCTAATGCAAATCTGTGAGCAGTCTTCACATACAGAGTTCAAGAGTGAAAATCGTCTGAACTGTGACATTCACCAGAACCACCTTAAATGCCTTATATGATAAGCATCTCGCTTAAGGATATTTCTTGTTATGTGCCGTTTATGTACATGCACTTATGTGGACATGTACATCGTTTGGCTCCAGATAGTTCCACTGTGATTCCCCCATACACTGACAAGTTTCTAGTCTACAGCCAGCTGGATATAACGTTAAATTCCTTTTTGGCATGTTTCATTAGCTTTCATCTAGTGAGAGGCTCCGTTTTGAGACTTATTCAATACCAATCAAACTTGAGCACTTGCTAAAGATAGAGTTGGGTGTTCGAATTATGTTTTAAACTTTTGTTTCTCAGGATAACAAATGTTTCACATTAAAGCTGTCTGCCAGTGGTTATGGATATGTTACAGGATTTAAAGACAAATCTGCAACCGGCAATCCTAAAATTAATGCTGAGCCCATCTTCTCAAATGAGCAAATTGGACCTGAGATTGTTTTGTAGAGGGTAATCTATACATATTACATCTGAAATCCAAGCAGGACCATGTTTCTAATTTCAAAGGTATCATTTCAATAGTGCAGGTTTACCCTTTTTTTTACCAGCAGAAAGAAATGGTAGATGTTTTTGGTATGGCATGTGTCATCTCGTGTTGTTTACTGCTGTGAAAAGGCAAAATGTCACAAAGTGATATGGTGAAGCAAGTGGGATGACAGTAAATTTGTTTTTTTTTTAAAAAGCATTAGAGCAAAAGGAAATGTTTCATTAGGATGAAATACAAGATAGCTTGTTTTTTGTTTTGGTTTTTATGTAGTTCTTTTTTTTTTTTTGCAGCTCCATCATAGTTATGTTTATATCCACTCTGTTACAGACTGGATTCTGCTCTGCAGCAGTGATGTCAGACCTCTCATATAACATCACAATCAGTCACAGAAGCTACTGAGGTTAGAGCTTACAGGGCCATTTAACACTGAAGCAAGTTTTTCTTGTTGCCTTCACAGTACATATCTGTTATGTGGGGGTTTCAGAAGTTGAGAATTGGCCTGAACTGTAGTTGAAGCTGCATTTTTTTTCTGTTTGTCAGTTGGTCTGCATGTAATTTTTGGTATGTTTCGTGAATGTATTTTTTTACTATTTCTCAGTTTGCTAAATGTACAGTTTGTTATTTTTGATGTTTGTGTTTGCAAATAAAATTATAATAATGCTTCATAGAAAAAATGCATATTTTTCATTCATCATTGTGGCATTCAGGTCATCAGTGGAGGCTGGCAAATTAATTCAAATCCCACAAGATTATGGGAAATATACCTGATCACTTTCTTGCTGAAAATTAAATACAAATATGATTCTCTAGTTTTTGCACTATGAAGCTAAAGACAAGACCTGATTATCTTAGCTTAGTATAGCAGAAAGACCAGAAAAAAATGTTAAACAACATTAACACCATGTAAGGTCACAAATTTTCTGTTTTACATGTATTTTTATTTACTGTATGTAGTAAGAAACACAATATGTTCAGAGAGCTTTACTTGGAAAGAGACAGGCTTCTTTATACTAAGCTAATAATTCCCTCCAACTCTTTATTTAATGCACATACACAGCATGAAAATTGATGTGTATTCCCCCAAAGCAGAAATATTCATTCAATCTTGTCACTTTAAGACAATTGAATTATTTTACTTAGAGTAAAGGGTAGACTCAGGCTTACAAATATTACTACATGGCATTAACCAAAATGTTACCTTGCATACATTTGTATGTGGTTAGATGAGTTTCTTGTGGTAGAAGGATCTGCACAGGGGACATGAAGGTCTGCTGTCTTCAGTGAAGGCCTCAAAGGCCTCTAAACAGAGTTGGTGGAATAGGTGGGAACAGGACAGGAGCACGATGTGCCTGTCTTGCTGATAGTTGGATCTACCAGCTTCTGATGGGAGGCTCAGGCTGCACAGAGCTGTCAGGCAGATGGGACAATCATGGACACCTCTCTGGATAACCTGTTAAGAGTTTGAAACAATATTATTTCTTCTACTGTCTTAAGAACATGTACACCTCCCTTCACAGGTGGAAGAGGATGTAGAGATATGTGCATAATCAGGACATTTGCACCTGAATTTAACTGTCTGATTAGGAGGTAATAATAACAACTTTGTTCATCCCACTGCTCAGGTGGAGGCCATTTAATTTGAAAGAACTCTGAACCAAATCTGTTGGCAACTACTTAACAGGTTTGATCCAACACGAGCTGATAACATGTTTATCAGTGATCCTTATGAAAACAAAGCATGCACAGCTTTGGCAATGATTAACCACAACCAGCTTCCTGTGTTTATGGGCCAACATGCCCCACTGTTAAATGTTTCATAACGAGCTGCACTTTTCTTTATAGAGTCTGAACTTGTGAAAAAAGGTGCACAGTATGTGTTGAAAACACATTCACTGTTTGATACGCCATGTCAGGGTGAGCCACTCCTGCCTTGTGCACAACCTTTTCACACCAGATAAAGAAAAAAAGACATCTCTGCACACGACCCAACTCCTCTATGGAAAATGTTACTGGCTACAGTGAAAGCTAACAATGGAGCCTTATGGAACAGCAAATCTAACGTCTGTTCAGTTCCTCTGTGGCAGTCCAGGTGATGAAAAGCATGCTGTGCATTATCAGACTAGCTTATTTATTTATTTATTTTTTACTGTTAGCCTTCCTGCTGCCAAAAATGAATGAATGATCATCTCTGGAAAGATGTGCTTTCCATATAACAGCTGTGGTGCTGTTGTCCCCTTGCAAGCGTTAACATGTCAAGGGAGAGGTAAGGCTGGGAGAAGAAGAGTCAAACCAGGTTTACATATTTCATAATGATACAAATGGTTCTGGTGCAACATTGTGTCTTGTTCCTGACCTGGCTCTGTATTCGGTCCCAGTCATCCTCACGAGGTTCAGCGATCCTCCTCCTTTCCAGCTGCTGGAACACTTGTCTGCTTGATGACAGGGAGCGGTCAATATCACTCAGAAAAGCCTCCGTGTTGCTGTGACAGTATTGGACAAAGCTGTCATTCAGCTCCTGCAACTAATTAGAAAACCATTTTAGTGGCACAAAGGAAGCATGTTTCATGCAGATACACAATAGAGTTGTGTTTTTAGTGAAGGCCAATTGTTTGTGTGAGTGTACAATAGTGGCTGAGGCACATTCATGGGGTGCAGTTGTTAAACAGCCACATCAATACAGTCACATCTCCCACTAACATAGAAAGTTAATTGATACAAGTAAAAAAAGAAATAGAAAAAAAGATGGTCCTGGGAAACATAAAATCGCACGTTCTGTTTCACTGACACACAAACATATTCTCTCTTTTGTCTTGTACACAGTGTTTGGGTAGACACTCAGAAAAATGAATACTATCCCTGGCAGAGTAAAGAGGGCTTTGAAATGGCATTCAGACACTCATGTTGGAAAAAATAGCTCTTGAAATATAATTTAACAGTTAATTGATTACATAAAATGCATTAATTCAAGTACTTTGACATTCTAGAAACTTTAACTTTGGTGTCTGGTAAAATTTTCCTGAGGGGAGATGGTACTGGGGGAGCTTGGATGATTCTTGGCCTAAGCGTTTCTACAGCCCTGATTCTAGGATAAATCATATATCTCCATTCTCCTTTCTCAACTGAATCTGAAGACTTCTTTCCAGCATCAGTCCTCCCATAACTCATCTGTCTTTCCTCCTGACAACAGCTGTTGCTAAGCAACAATTAATGCCTGCGTGCATGCAGTTTGCATGTTTATATCAAAAGACAGTCAATAATCAGTGAACAGGCTATTTACGTTTTAAAGACATTAACATAAATCCCTGTTTGCAACATATTACACAACAACAAATTATAAAAACCAAACCATCTCCATCATGACTGAGCAAACTCTGGATGAAATAAGGTACCATGAGGTGAGACTTAAAGCTCCAGAAAAAAACTGTTGAACTTGTGATAAGATTTTTTTTCAGTATGCTATAAAAAAATATTAAAGCAGCATTATTGATTCATCTAAAAGATGTAAAAATTAGTGAAAAAAGTCAGTCCCAGTTTTTCACAGCCTAAGATGATCTGCTCAGTTGGGTTATTTTGACCAGCAACCACACACACTAAAACAAGGGAAATCCCTGACATTTAGGATGCTAACACTAGGGCATGTTTGACATTTTTGCTTTAAAAACAATTTAAATAATGAATTGATTATCAAAACAGTTGCAGATAATTTTTTATCAGTTGGGTAATAGTTGCAGCATTACGTTATTGTGTTGAACTACATCTGGGAAAAGTAATGTAACTGCAAGATGTTACTACTCTAAGCATCTGCTTGCACATATGTACTCTGTCTGACACACACACACACACACACTCAGTCTGCCACGGTGACAGGAGAATTGCTTTACAGCTCAGCTTTTATCACTAATTAAACAACTGTTAACCATCCAGATGGAGGGTTTTATGAGCCAGGCTGACTTTTCAACAGTCAAGGCAAACAGTACAGCCTCTGGTGAACTTTGCCTTGCTCCACAGTAGATGCGTACAGGAGAGGACACAGAGGGGGGAAAAGGAGGTGGAGCACAAATGTGTTATCTCACGGCAATCCATCTAGATGTCGGCAGTGTCCCCCTTAATGTGTTGACTCAGGGTCGGACCTCCGAAGCGAGAAAAAAATGAAAGCTGGGCATCAAGATCGGCTGATAAGATTTCTGAAACTGACCTGATATGTATAAATTTTTTCCCAGGAAACACCTGTGACCTTATGGTACAATGATGCTTTATTGCCTCCTGCTATCACAAGGAAAACTGAGAGAATAGGTTTCTCCATCTCACACATGTTCCAGCCCAGCACTAACATGCCTGTTTGCATTACAGTCAGCTAAGCAAATAAGTCTTCCCCTTGGAAATCAAGTCAATCAGACCTGTCAGCGGTGTGCTGCACAGCTCACAGTTCTCGAAGATCATCTTCTGTGTGACAAACGATATGAGACAATGTTATGACCACCCACAACCACTGAAACACACAAGTTGAATGAAAAGTGGCTGACAGCGTCTGCATGTGGACTCAGACATGGCCTAATGTGTTAGAAGGGACTTAACTAGCTCAGTAAATGCAGTGTCTTTGTTTCTGTGACATGTTAAGGCATGGTTTATAGGCAAGATGATGGAGACTGATGGGGGGATGGGTAGGACACAACACATTATAACACAACACATTGCATTTGTCACTTTTACTTAATCAGTCTCTTTGAAGCACATGATCACAACACTCCACACTGGAATAAATATGCCTACTCTCGAGGACACTGGACATACAGAACGTGTTGGAGCTGTGAACTTGCATGAGTTGCTCCCTGCCCTTAAAAAGCAGATGCCTGGTTAAGAGAAAAGGTGACTGGTGTCATCTTGGGCATCCAGGGGCTCAGCTGGGGGAGGTTCACTAGGTGGCAATGTTCCCTTTTTTTGGGAGTCTCAGAATCAAAAGACCCCATCCACTGGCTCTTCTCAAGACCATTGTCAGTCACTTTTAAATGTTTCCTCCATCAAGTCCAGTCACTGCATGATTAATGCCTTTGAAATGGGACAAAGGAACAAAGACCAAAATGACAACCTGCACTGGGTATCCAAACTTCACCTGTTCACCCTTTCCCATCCAATAACAGCACTATACACACACTAATCAATGTGTGTGTGTGTGTGTGTGTATAGAAATACCCAAGTCGAGCACGGAGGCACAAGAAATGCTTTTGTGTTGACCCTGGAATGCCCAGACTGTTTGACTAAACAGAACTCTCTCCACAATAGCAGACAAACAGTGTATGATTCACCAAGCATCAAAGGAGTTTGAGAGGGTGTGAGCAGGTGAAGGTGTATGTGTATATAGGTTAGCAGTGGGGTCAGTGAGTCCCTGAAGCCCAGGTCTCAGCCTTTAATGTGATGTTTGTCGCAGCCTTTATTTGACCACCTAAACTGTCAATGAATGTCAAGGTGAGATATAGGAAAGAAAGACTTCAGGCTTCAGGAGACTTCAGGAGACACATTATACATGTTCAATGTCATCCAAAGAAGCATGTTTAATCTCTAAGCTCCTGATATAATCACTGTTGAAGTCCAAACTGACCTTCGCTTCGAAGAATTTGCGCCGTAGCTCTTTGTCTTTTGGGCAGATTGTTTTCCTCACTTGTCTGTACTGCCTTCGAACAACATAGCCTCGCCAGCATGCTTGGATTCTACATACACACACAAATCACACCAGTAATGAGATAATCTAATGGGAAATGTATGCTCTCAAAGATTTTTAAAACTCAGAGTTAAACAGTCAAATGTTACAGAAATGTGGTAAAATTCAAGCTAGGTAAAGATTTTGAACACATTTTTCATTAGCTTATTCGTGTGTTTATGGGAAACCACAAGGTGTTCAGTATGACTTATTAAAAAAAGAGATATGATATTATTTCTTAGGTAAAAACTTCAACAAAAGTACAAATGCAAGTATGGCTCCAACTCACGTAGACAAGTGACCCTAGCTACATATAGCCACTTGAGCTGTTTTCATATATGAACTCTAGACTATGTCTGCAGAATCAGGCTTTGTCCAGAGTTGCTCTTTCACACATGTAGCGCACAACAGGAGACACTCTGTGTGAGATGCGTTCTCACTCACTGTAAATACTCCATTTGGAATGTCATCAACATGCCTACTAGCTCCATGTGTATACTCTGGACTATACATAGCTGTATTCTCACATGGGCTCACTCCATTTATCTACTTTATATTTCATTTGTATTTTGTGGCATTCATGTGGATGACAAAGTAAGAATTTCATTGTACAGGGAAACACGTTTCCTAACTGTGCATATGACAAAATAAACACTTTGAACTCTTTGAACTCCAGCTCCAGTTACGTACACTCTGCACTAGGGAGCTGGCAGGGTAAAGTCTGCATAAGGTCCAGGTCAACTGGACAGCTCCTCCAGATAATGTCTAGATAATTTCAGGGTGCCAGTGCATGTCTGAATGGAGCTATACATAAAACAATTCATGGAAAAAAGCATGCACCACATCTGTTTCAGTGTGAATCTTCATCATGTACTGTAATTTGAAAGCCTTCCATAGACTAAAATATCACTAAACTTAAACTTGACATAAAAATGTGAGGATGATTTTCTCTTCAACAGCAGCTGAAGACACTGTAGATTTACAGAAATCACTTGGTCAAATACACATAAATTTTTTTTTTTTGTTTTGTATCTCTGGTTATGTGCATTTACCTGGTAGCGCATTGATGTCTGAAGAGGTGAGCTGCATCGTGTATCACTCGTGTTTCATACTGCTCTCTTCTGCACATAGGGCAACACTTCCTCCCAGAAAACCTCTCAAAGGCCTGCAAACATGCCCTGTGGAAAACATGAGAGCAGGACAGCAACACCTACAAACAGATGGTGATACTAGTTAATTAGTGTATGAATATACAAAATAGTATCACTTATGCTATGGAGGCAGCATCTAAAGTAATCTTAAGCATTTAGATTTCATAAGTTGACTGATATGGCTTTCTTTGTCTCCTGAGGAGGCTGCTGAATGTGTATTGGTTTTCAGGTTTTCTTTAAGTGCTTTGAAAGGCTCTTATACAATATACAATCTGTGCACATGCAGTGTGTGTTTGTGGGCTTTAAGCCATGCTAAATCTTTGTGTATTCATGCACATATGTGAATGTGTGTATCTACCTCTAAGTGTTATTTGCCAAGAGGATACAGGGAGTCAACAGGACCCCCACAGGGACAACTGGGGCCTGGACTATAGTCTCCTTCTACCTGTGAGAGGGCCACTTTTATTGTCTGAAAGGAGACAGCCACAGCTTTGGGGCTTGGCACACAAACCAGTTTACTCAGATCTCTAGAGGGCAGGGGGAAGGCATATTGATTTCCCATTGTTTTTGGCCTGACCAGCACACTCCATCACCAGTGAAAGGGCCCCCTGCAGTGAACAATTTCCAAGAGCTCCACAAGCCATTAGACCAGAGAGAAATTTCACTTCTCACAAAATGTTAAAGGTACAAGCTACAGTTTAGCGTGAGACATACAACACAGAAATAGAATAAAAATCCAATAGAAAGCAAAGAAACTTTCTTTTTAAATCTCAACCCAATGTTAAAAATAACATGAGCAAGATATAAAAGCAAAGATTCCAGTCCACACAACCGATTGAGAGCATCTGCTGTTGTAAGTATTTTAAATGTTATATTAATGCTTGAATGCAACACAAGACTATAATACAATCACACTGTTACAGTATGAAAGCTTGCAGGAAAATGGCACACTAACAATTCCCTCTTGTCACTTTTCCCTTGTTAACAGGTTCTAATTAACTTTTTTTTTAAGTCAAACTAATATTTACATGTGCATCTATGGCAACTGTGCTGTATTAGGCTGTCTATATAGTCCTGCATTCTTGAGGAGATTGGCATCTTAAAAGAGGATCGGAAAGATGTAAGAGACTGAATGACCCTCACAGTAAGACACTGATTGCCACATCATCATGTCACACTTGAGTTCCAAGGTAGTATGGGTAAATTTGTACAGTTGTCTACACAGATTAAGACATACGGAACTGCAGGGTGAGAGCAGGGGGAGCTTTGTGTATATGTGTTTGTACTCATGTGTGTATATGGAAACACAGGTTTCCCAGAGGACTGAGACAGAACACTAAAAACTCCCTCACACAATATTAACAGTAGCTACTGTGTTGGAGGAAATACCTGAGTCTGAAGACGAAACTCCTCCCTGCACACTGCACAGGGCTGATTTGATTCCTCCTGTGCAACAGACCTCGCCTTAACCAGAGCCCATTCGCCCTCTGTCAGCCTCTCTCCTGGAGAAGCCATCAAACCCATCTTCTGAGCTAGAAGAATTGATGCAAATGGTCAGATATTCATGAGCCAATTACATAAAGTCTTTGCCAGAGTGTTCATCTTACCTAATGTTAAAGGGTATGGAGCAGGATCAAGCACATATTCTCTTTCTTCTTGTCCATCTTGTGTCTGCAGACGCTTCTTCTCCACACTTCCTCTTGCTTGTGGATTTCTATGTGCTTTTCTTTTACATTGCAGCAAAGGATCAGAAAGTGATAGATGCAATAGCCTTTGTGTGATGTGGTCTTGAAAAGCAGCTGACACCATCACCAGCTTGTTAGATTTAATTGTCAAACCCTGTAAAAAAATTCATAAAAGAGTGATGCTTGAAGCATTGTTTAAACGTTATAACTTGAGCAAACAGTAGATGAAGACTTGTTATTTATTTCAGACCATTAAAGTAGCCTAAAAAGCAATAAGTTACACTAAAGGCATTCTGAACAACACGGTCTATACCAAATAACTGCAATAAATTATTACATGGACAAATGGGAAATGCTAGTTTAATTCACTAATGCAGCTATGACTCTGTCACAGATATTTTAAACCGACACAAAGAGGTCTACCACAGTTTATCTTACAGCCTAGTTTACCGACAAGACGGAAAGTCGTACACATAAATAAAAATAATATAGCTTATTCATTATATTTTCCGTGAACTGAACCGTAGAGGATACGCTTTCTCTAACAGGTAAAAAACGAGGTGTCTCCTCGTAGTGACTTTTGCTTCTACTACTATCTAGAAATGTACACATAAAAAGAAAGCCTAATATCAGTCACATTTTTTTCACAATTTGCATAAATTAACAAATTAGCAAAGTAGAAAACTGGGGTGAAAAAGAGTTTACAATCCGAACCTTCCGCTTTGCCATCACACCATGTTTGAGTGGTTACCAGGCAACTAGTCCCGCCCTCTCACGGTACGGCGTATCCTCAACGCTGCCTCTGATTGGCTAAAGTGAGACCTCGTTTGTCTTACATACATTGAGCTAGCCAAGTGCCTATTAAAGCTTCCGTGTTTCTAGTTATGTTTTTAAAACTTCTAAATTATGTAATACTATTAGTTTTCGCATTTTAAACGGTGGTGAGATGCAGCCCCTACTTTTATCATTTCTTTTAGTGAATTTTAAACAGACTTATATTCAAATGTTGTTACAGTGTAAAACAAATAAGTCGTTATATCTCAAATTTACATAAGCTAACCAAACTAAAATTCCCAAGAAAGTAAAAGTAAAAGTACTAACACTGCACTTCTTTCTCCCTTTATCATCCTTCCCTCTTTTCCATAACCCCTAAAATAATGTAGTAGCCTACTCCCATCCTGTGTTATCTAATTCTACACCACTGCATTTCATTGAGGAATATTGCACTTCACTACTTTTACCTGACATCTATAGTTACTAGTTAGACCTACTTTTTAGATTAATAAATGTAAATTTAATTATAGATTGCTGTAGATTATATTAACAGTATAAAGACATTTTCAAAATTGTTCACTTCTGACCAGTTACAACATTATAAATGCTGCATATGTATCCATGTACTACTCGTAATAATCAAATAATATAGCCTATAATAATACTGACATGACCCTTCTGCTGCATAGTGCATGCTTTTACTCCTGATATATGAGAATATTTAGCTGAAAATATGTACTTTTATATTAAGTAAGATGTAGGTATGGGCTTTTTCTCACTTGTTTTGTATTCCTGTTTTTATTAAAGTAAAGGATCTGAATACATCCCACACCAATGCTGATACCTTTACACTTACAAATTGTTCTTCTATTATCATGCAAAGACCATTTAACTCTGAAAACAACATGCAATGTCTCACTAACTAATGATTATTTTATTGTCAGAGAGTTGTCAGTGAATAGTTGGAACCTGACCAAAGAAGGTTGGTCTACGTGTATAGGTGACTCACCAAGCTGTCATCAGAGTAGGCACTGAACAAAGCTAAGCTGCTCATACCTGTGCTATGAGCTAAGGGATCCCTCCCAGGTCACCCTTACATGGAAAACCATACACACAAACACACAGTCCAAACCGTCTCGTTTTGTGAACCTGATGAAAACTTTGCTTTATTTCTCACACACAGCGTGGAGGTGTGTGACTTTTAAAATGCTTTGCAGCCTTGATTGACTTTGATGTCTTCAGTCAGAATTGGTGAAAACAGATGGCTGAGGAGAGGGCTAACGGTGAGGCCTGTCAATCTAGAGTGTCCTCTAGGAAAACAAAGTGAAGACCTGGCTCTGGGAGAGGAGGAAACCCCTGAGCTTCTCAAGAGGCTGCTGCATTCTTGAGATTAGGGCAAGAAAAACGCAGACCACGGCTGTTAATGCCCCAGACAAAGGCGTGGAACAATTTATTAGTTAAGAATTCAAGCTCAGAGCTCAATCAAAGGCCTGTCGTCCACAACGGCAGACTTGGGGCTTTGGTTTGTTGTTTTAAGTAAATAATCATGCTTAAAAGATATGGCAAAGATGGGGCTCAAGTCCCCCATAAAGCCTGCATTCTTCCAACTGTCATCAGAATGGATTTCAATGTGCGCTTTTATTTTCAACAGGGACACTGTTTGCGTTTTTCTTTATGAATACCATTTAAAGAGCTTTTTATTTAACTTTCTTCCCCCTGGACCTCTTTACCTGTTCTATGGTATTTTTGAAAAAACAACTCACAATGATGAGTAAAAAGATTTAAGGTAAAAAAAAAAACTGTGGACATGAGCTGCTTTGCAAATTTGCACCAATAACAGTTTGAAAGGGAAAATAATCCCCCCGTTCTTCAGTGTATGTGCATATAACAGCCAAGACTTCAAACTCAGCAACTATGAAAAAAAATATGTGAAACAAAGATGATGTCAATTAATACTGAAGTAAATAAACTATCTAGTGAGTAAATGCCGGACACTTTCATGATACTGAGTCAGTTCATACCCATAAAACAGGTTTGTGTTCACATATACACTGTGATATATTGCTTTATTGAGTAATTACTGTGAGATATAAATGAGGGAGGGCAGCCCATAATGGTTAATTAACAATTATGTCAGCCAGTGAGATGACCAGGAGACCAATCACTTTGATAGGAGATAGTGGATGGGGACAGAAATCAAATTATTTTATGGCTTGACCTATAATGCGTCCCTAACATGGCTTTAATCACTCCATGGTGGATAGGAACCCCCCATGGCTTTCTGGGAGTGCAGCATCCAGGGGTGGAGAGCAGTGAGTTTTTAGTATTTACTGTTATCTCTTGCGTCATTGCTGAGTAAGTAAGCTATAAAAGAACACAGCGGCTGTTACAGTCATTTGGTCGCTTTTCAGAGAGATGAGGCTCCTAATGATTAGACGTGTCCTTTGTAAATGAAATACAAATCACCCCACGCTTTTGGTTTTACTTCATTTACTAAGTGCTACATTACCTCATACTTTGGACCTAACAGCGGATTTACTATAAATCTCTTGGTAGTTGAAATGACGAAGGGGCTCACATATCACAAAATGTGCCAGTGCTTATTAGCACTTGAGAAGTTATTGATCGGGCATTGTGATTAATGTCCACAGGGGCCTACAGTGGCATTCAGGGGCCAGTGGAGGTCCCCCTGTGCAACTGGCCAAGACTGCTGCCTCTCAATTATCTACAGTTTGTGCTGACTGCCAGTCTGAGGTCTGGACAGCTACTGCACTGTCCTGATGCCAGAAATAATATGAAGTCACCCTCTATGTTCCAGTTCTTCTCCATTATTCAGATATAAACATATTAAAAGTCAGAGGTTGGCAAAAGATGGTTTATTACAGAATAAAGTGTCACCACCATAGAGTAGGAAAGCTGTTTGATAGTAGTTCAGAGTGATGATACTGCTATTCTGATGCTAGAATGGCAACTGTTGCTGTAAAATATTATCAGCTGTACCTAGCCAGCTAACTAAGTTAACATTAGCTCAATGAGTTGATTGAAAACCAGTCTGCAGTTTAATGTTTGCAGTGGTCTCTTTTTTTATAAGGATCATGACAATGTGACAAATGTACACTACAGGTCAAATGTTCAATTCAACTGGAACATTATACATAATCTGGTATAATTATTTGGGCTGTCTGGTGCATAAACCTCCCAAAATCCAAAAGAGGTGGACAGAACAATTAACATTCGGCCTACCTATACATTCTGGCACATTAGCATCCAGGACTAGCTCTGACACAGTGCCAAAGTACTGCACAGTGGATGTCTGCATATGTTGATTAAAGGTAGCTAATCTGTAACTTCATAAAATGTAATTAGCAAATGATAAACTCCTTGCATACAATATAAGGTTAGGTTACTACAATAACCTGGTTAGCCAGTCATATTAAAATTTGCAACCTAATGACTGGTGGTTTTGTGTTATGCAAAAAAAATGCAAGCAAAAAAGGTAAGGAATTACTATATTTACCAATCACAAAACAACAGAATTTCAGTATACCGTTTGTTTCTGAGCTGCAAGGATGCAGCCATTATTTTAATGTAATACTAGTGGTGCAGGAACCAGTAATTTCTGGAATGGCTATGTAGCCATCTTTCTCCATAATGGACAATAATTGAGCAAAAGCCATTGCTATAGCTAGAAACTCACTATAGCTGGAAATAGACCACCATAATGGCCATAAATTGTGCCATGTGACGGCATGAGCACTGAAAATACAGCTGCTCCCACTGTGTCTGAGAGGCACTGCAACTTCGACCCATCCCCTTTCATCTTTACATTTTGACTCCATGCTGATTGCATACAATGCACATCCATTCGAGTGAAATCATACCTTTTAAACGTAGTGTGCTGTTGATTGACCTGAGGTACAATGCATGTTGCATTTCTGCTAAATAGAACATGCTACCTTATTGCTATAGCATTCAAACATTGTAGATCATATTTGTAACATCAAGACATGAATTCTTGTACTGGAAACAGTGTTTGTCATTGCTGTGTAAATTTATAGATCTTTTCCATCAACCTTTTTCAAAAGGAACTGTTATAGACACAATTAATTTATTTCTTTTTTAAAAGGAACACCTCAATTAAATAAGCATAGCAGCTGAAGGCTTCCTTCCAAACCCCACCATAAATCAGCAGAGGCGGCTATTTCATCTGATTGAATGAGTGCAAAGAACCCGACTTTTGTCTGTGCTGTGGGGAATGTGTTTGTGGTGAGTCTCATGGATGTCAAGTTCTTTGGGCAATAAGAAAAAAAAAATCACAGCCACTCTCTAGAATTACCACATAATCGGCGACTTTCTACATCTGTAAAGGACCCTGCTGTCTCTTCCTCCTACCCTACTAATGGATGAGCCCATTTTTAGGTGATGAGCGGTGGGAACATGGTGGGAAGAGCCATATTTAGCCCATCAATGAACACAGTCTAGGAGTGCTTCAGAACATCAGTATAAAAATTTTTTAAAAAAGGTACCAGAAACAAGTGAGCAAATTTAAAGGGTGTCCCTGGATTTAGCTATCCTTATTTCCTCTTAACTCTGTTCTTTCAATTAAGCCACTAAACAGTATAAATAAATAATAATAAAAATCTGCTATGTAATATAAAGTATTTGCATATACAATGCACTGCTATTGTACCATACACTGATCAGTTTGGCATGGGCACCACCCTAGTTATACAGTTTGACTGTCAAAAGCAAAGTCAATCATTAGAAAAAACATAAAATCTCTTGCATCTAAAATGAAACAGGGCAAGTCATTCACCTTCAGAGTCTGTTGAGATTCTGCCAAACAGGCAGAGCTTGAGATGGAGTATCAGCACTAAACTGTTAGATTTCTTATGGTGCATTCAGCTGTATACAGACAACTTTGAGAAACTGCATGGAAATGGGATGTGAAATGTAAAAGCTGGATATTGGAAAAAAATTATATTAAAGTGATAGACAGCTAGAAAGGAAGCAATAGC